CAAGATAGAAAGCCCAGAAATAAACCCATTCACCTGTGGGTACCTTATTTTTGACAGAATGGCCATCATGAAAAAGTCTACAAACAATAAATGCTGGAGAGGGTGTGGAGAGAAGGGAATGCTCTTGCACTGTTGATGGGAATGTAAATTGATACAGCCACTATGGAAGATGGTATGGAAATTCCTTTAAAAACTAGGAATAAAAGCACCATATGACCCAGGAATCCCACTCCTAGGCATATACCCTGAGGAAACCAAAATTGAAAAAGACACATGTATCCCATTGTTCATTGCAGCACTATTTACAATAGCTAGAACATGGAAGAATTCTCAATGTCCATTGACACATGAATGGATAAAGAATTTGCGGTACATATGCACAGTGGAATATTAGCCATAAAAAGGAACACATTTGAGTCAGTTCTGATAAGGTGGATTGTTGAGGTCCTTTAATGCACCGGAACCTGGTGGTCCGGAGTCGATGATAAGAAAGTAAAAGAGAGAGAGAAAGAGGCTGATATTCCTTGGTTTAGGCAGAATGCCAATAAAGCTCTTGACACAGAGCTTGCACTGCTTCATGTAGGCACCCAGCACCCTCTCCAGAGTGTCTTAGAATCCTGGGCAAGAAAGTGAGCTCAGTGGGCTTCCACGCTCCGAAGAATTAGCCTGAGAGAGAGAGAGACAGAGAGAAAGACACAGTTACCAAGCTCTGATGGAGCAAAGTTGTTTTATTCAACATAGTGTGGGTATATATACTGTCTTACAAGGTAGCTATTTTCAGCAAGATAAAAATCAAAGTCCAGACTTAGAAATTATCAAGGAACATAAGGCGATCCATATCAAAGAGAGAGGGTTGTGAATAATCACTTTTACCGTATGGTTCATAAAAAGGAAGAAGGTCATAAATAGTTACTTATCACCGTATGGAGAAACTAACAAAGGAAATGCATGCATTCCTCAGCCCTGGGAGAAGCGTGCCACTCCTCTAAGTCCGTGAATATTCAGGAATTAATAAGGAGCAGAGGATTCATGATCCAAAAGAGCACACAGGAAGCCGCCTGTTAAATGCTTCCTGACAGTGGATGAACCTAGAGCCTATTATACAGAGGGAAGTAAGTCAGAAAGAGAAAGAAATATCATATTATGATGCATATATACAGAATCTAGAAAAATGATACTGAATAATTTATAGGGAGGCAGTGGAGAAATAGACATAGAGAACAGAGTTATGGACATGGGGAGAGGGGAAGAGAGGGTGAGTTGTATGGAAACTTACATTACCATATGTTAAGTAAATAGCCAACGGGAATTTGTTGTATGGCTCAGGAAGCTCAAACAGAGGCTCTGTATCAACCTAGAGGAGTAGAATACAGAGGGAGATGGGAGGGAGGTTAAAAATGGAGGGGAAAAAAGAAAAAGGTTTTATGCTACAAGACTAATGTACAAAAGTAAATTGCTTTCCTCTGTACCAGCAATGAGCAAGTGGAATTTGAAATTAAAAACATAATGTCCTTTATACATTGTCATTTACATAAGTGCCCCAATATTAGTTAGATGTAAATCTAACAAATTAGGAGGAAAATTACAAAACTATGATGAAAGATTGCAAAGAAGTAAATAAATGAAAGTAGTCCATGTTCATAGAAGATTCAATATTGTCAAGATGTCATTTCTTCCCAACTTGAACTAAAGATTTAGTGCAGACAGTGGAATATTGTTCAGCACTTAAAAGAATTGAGTTATGTCACCATGAAAAGATATGAAAGAAATTTAAATGCATATTACCAAGTAAAAGAAACTAATCTGAAAAGTTTACATACTATATGATTCCAACTATATGACATTCTGGAAAAGGCAGACTATGGAGACAGTAAAAAGATCAATTGAAATCCCAGCATGTTGTTTTGTGAATATTGGCAAACTGGTTCTTAAGTTTATATGGAGAAGCAAATGACCCAGAATTGCCAATACAGCATTGAAGAAGAACAAAATCAGAGTACTGACATTGTACCACATTTCCAGTGTGTGCGTGTTCAGTCACTCAGTTGTGTCCAACTCTTTGCAATGCTATGGACTATAACCCTCCAGGCTCCTCTATCCACGGAATTTCCCAGGCAAGAATACTGAAGTGGGTTGCAGTTTTCTCCTCTGGGGCATCTCTGACTCAGGGATCGAACTCACATCTCCTACACTGGCAGGCTGATTCTTCACCACTGAGCCACCTGGGAAACCCCTTGACTTACTCTAAACCTGTAGTAATCAAGACAGGGTGATACTGGTGAAGCAATAGACAAATGGATCATGGGATTACCCAGAAATTAGCCCACATAAGTACAGTGAGTTGATCTTTGACAAAAGAACAGAGACAATATAATGGAGCAGAGATAGTCTTTTTAACAAATGATGCTAAAACAGCTGGACATCCACATGAATGAATCTAGATACAGACCTTACACAAAAATTAATTCAAAATGGGTCACAGACCTAAATGTAAAATGCAAAACTATGATACTCCTAGAAGATAGGAGAAAATCCAGATAATTTTGAGTTTGGCAATGAATTTTTAGATACAGCACCAAAGGTATGATCCATGAAAGAAACAGCTGGTAAGTTGGACTTCATTAAAACTAAGTTTCTGCTCTGTGATAAGCAATATCAGGAAAATGAAAATTGGAATCAGAAATGGGGAGAAAATATTTACAAAAAAACATCTAGTAAATGACTGTTATCCAAAACATACGAAGAACTCTTTAAAACTCAACACAAAACAAAAATCTTGATTAAAAAATGAGCCAAAGACCTTAAAAGACACCTCACCAAAGATTTACAGATGGCAAATAAGTAACCAAAAAGATATTACAAATCATATGTGAAAATGTGAATAAAACAATAATAAGATATCCTCATTACACCAAATAAAGGCTAGATACACCTATTAGAATGGCTAAAACCCTATGCTAATAAGGAAAATAGGAACTCACATTCTTTGCTCACAGGAAATCAAAGCAGTACATCCACTATATAAGGCAGTTTGGTGTTTTCTTACAAAAGTAACTTTACTCTTACCATAGTACCCAACAGTTGCATTCCTCTATATTTAGCCCAAGGAACTGAAAACTTATGTTCACACAAAACCTACACATATATTTACAACAGCCTTTTTCTTTGCCAAAACTTGGAAGCAACCAAGGTGTCCTTCAGTTGGTGATGAATAAACTATCATAGAACCAGGGAGTGGAATATTGTTCAGCACTCAAAAGAAATAAGCTATGTCACCATGAAAAGATGGAAGAAACTTAAACGCATATTACCAAGTGAAAGAAACTAGTCTGAAAAGGTTACATACTATATGATTCCAGCTACATGACATTCTGGAAAAGGCAAAGTATGGAGCCAGTAAAAAAAGATCAGTGGTTAACGGGACTTAAGAGAGAGATGAATAAACATAGACAAATCATAGAAAATTTTTAGACCAGTGAAACTACTCTCTATGATACTATAATAGTGGATAAATGTCATTATAAGTCTTTTCAAACTCACAAAGTATACAGCACCAAAGTTGAATTCTAAACTATGGACTCTAGGAGATAATGTTGTGTGATGTAGGTGTATCAGTTTTAACAAATGTACCACTGCCATTGCAGGATGTTAATAATGGGAGAGGTTATCTGTGTATGAGGGAAATCTGTGGCTTCCCCTCAATTTTGCTGTGAACCTAAACTTCTCTAAGAAATAGTCAGTTAAAAAATTACATGAGATGGGTATGAACATAGGAGAAATCCCAAATTTCGTGCCACAATACTACCTTTTCATAGATTAGCAACTTACTTCATGAATATAGCTTACACAGTAAGTTCCTTCTTAATAAAAGATAAATTTAGATTTATTATCTGATTTATTTGAGAAGCTTTAAAAACATATTTAAGCTTTTTACTTTGTATTATAGTTTCAGGTGAACAGTGAAAAGACTCAGCCATAATATACATGTACCCATTCTCCCCCAAACTCCCCTCCCATCTAGGCTGTTACGTAACAGTGAGCAGAGTTCCATGTGCTATACAGTAGGTCCCTGTTGGTTGTCCATTTTAAGTACAGCAGTGTATGTTGTACTTCTGTAAAATATAATTATGATAAAGATAATTGAGTATTAGCAGTGTGTTGTCAGCAAAGCAGGTTCATTCATAGCATAATAGTAGAAAATAACCACACCCATTCTCAAAAATAGAGAATGGCTGTGAAGAGCCAGTTGTTAAAATGATTGTTCTTAGTTTCAGTAACATTTGTAAAACTTTAAATTATATTGACTATTGATTCGCTTGTTTGATTTTACTGATTAAAATCTTTCAAGCCAGTAACCTGGTACTCTGTGACCTCCTAGAAGTGTGGAAAGAAGTGGACATGTGTATACTTATGGCTGATTCCTGTTAATTGTATGGCAAAAGCCAATACAATATTATAAAGCAGTTATCCTCCAATTAAAAAAAAAACTTTCAAGCCAGAAATGTTTTCTGTTCATGTTAATAAAATGTTTTACCATATCAACTTGCTGTTTACAAGTTTTACAAAAGAAAATTAGCCATTCTAGAATGTATATATCCATGTACATTTTAGGCCAGAGGTTATCCCTATGGTGGTGTGCCACAGTCTAGTTCTGTTACCTTTTAAAATACATGATAAGAGTATATGAAAAGGAAAACTGTAATATGCGAAAGGGGTTTCATTTATTTCTCCCTGGAATCCATCAATCTCTGTATTCCATCTAGTATGTTTACCTAGAACTCCCTGGCTTTCTATACCAGAGTTGTTTTCTGAAATCCTGAAATAGGTAGCTTTTGAAGATTTAGCTTTTTTTTTAAAACAATTATGAATATGGTCTTCTTATATAGATAGAGTAAATGTGATATTTCTATTATAAACAAATTGTTTTCCTTTTCCATTTTGCCCTGTTTTTCTTAAGGTTTTACAAATATGTTTATTTAAAATATGATTTTAATTTATAGCAGTGTGCTGAAAAACAAGATCAAATCGAACGAGCCATCAGGGAGAAAAAAGCAGTGGAAGAAGAACTAGAAAAGGTAAAAAGAGAAAGGAAAAATAACTACCTAAACCCAACTGCAGATACTCAGCATTACTGTCTGCTTTCATCATACTCTCTACTAGCAGCCCCTATATTATAAGTATTCTCCTGGTGAGTTCTTTTATTTGCTTCGAATATTTTTGGAATCCGCATTTGAATACTGATATTGCCTATATACATTTCTTTATAAGAGTGGCTGCATTTTTTGAACTTTTTTATGATATAACTGTATTCCTTGTTTAGACCACATCCCAATATTAAATTTTATTTTGTATTTCTTTTTTAAAAATTTCTGCCAACTTTTACTGGGTTTAGGCCATCTGTAAACAAAGCAGGTATATATAACCAAAAAATTATAAATTGCTATGATTTTTACCTTTTAAAAGTACAGATTTTTATTCAGAGTTTGGAAAGATTATTTACCCCAGTGGCATTTGAGAAAGAATGTTGTAAGAAGTCTATAGTTTAAAATTTACATCTTACTTAGATAACTTTTTTTTATTAGCAGTAAATATTCCGCTCTTTTAAAATACCTTGTGGGGAAAAAGCCTGCTGAATTTGATGCAGCACATACTGTGCTTTACGTGCTGCATTAGGAACTTTCATAGAGAAGTTAAGTAACTTGTCCAATGTTAAAAAATAAAAATAGCAAATAGTAGACTCAGAGTTTGAGTTTCAAAGAGGAGCTATATAGCATCAAAAACATGTGATATATCTATATTATTGACATAAAAAGATTATGAGAACATTAGATAGTAAAAGTAATTTACAAAGAAGAATACAGTATATAATTCCATTTGTGGTGGAAAATAAGACATATGCATGTCATGTTCAAGATAGGCTGTTCACGGTCACCCGTGATAGGCTGATCCCTGAGTTCCCCTCTGTTACGGAATAGGAATAGGTCCCATTTAGATTGCCACCCACCAGCAGGGTTTGGGATGAATTTTTTAATATCACATGGCATAGGTTAAGGAATAGGCTTTATTAGGGAAATGTAAAACCTATGAGACTAAAGGCAACAGGTAAAGAAAAGTCACAGGTTTCTCTTCTTCCACTGTTCTACAGATAGGTATGCTGTAGTCAGAATGAATAACCACTGGTTCTGAAGTATTAGGTATGTGTTTTACTAGCAGGACATTGACATGCTGATACTGTCTTTTTGTGGAGCAGGAATAACAAAGCAGTCTGGTCAGTGGGAAAAGACATTGGTTACTTGGCCAAGCAGTCTGGATTTGAAGAGTACTTCTCTGTAGGGTTTGTCTGAAAATGTGAACCGCCTCACATCTGGAGACCTTGCAGTTCATGGAATGTTATAGCCTGTGTGTCACAGGTGGAAGCTTAGTCTCACAGGAAGCAGAACTTGGCTACAATCACTTCTGCTGGGGAAGGAGAAACCTCCATTTCAGCTAAATCAGGGTCCGGTTAACCTAGAGAGAGATTCTGGAGTCACTTTCAGATAGTTCTCACTGCACCATAGCATGTGTCTGTACTTCTGAATGTAGCAATACAGAATTGTCCTGAAAGTGCTCATCAAAGAATCAGAGCAGTTATCTCCAAGTGGTGACACTTAGAGTGTTTTTTAATTTCAGCTATTTTCTATTTCTTACTAACATATTAAAACTATTTGAATAGTACAATGAATAACTTTTAAAAATAAGCAATTATTTTGTATGTCAGTTTTCAGCATTTTATTTTGAAAATGTAAGATAACCAAAGTTAATTATCAATGTGTTTTAATGTTATAGTGAGAACAGATGAGCACATCATGAGTTTTTATTTCTTATCATTTATTTCAGTTTCTAAACTGTGTAATTTCTTAAGATAATTTCTTTCTGCAAAGTAATATACATATAAGCCTCTTCTGCAGATTTACCGTGAAGGCAGAATGAATGAAAATGATTACAGAAAACTAGAAGAAATGCACCAAAGATGCCTGGTTGCCGAGCGTTCAAAAGATGATCTTCAGCTGAGACTTAAGACAGCAGAAAATAAAATCAAACAACTTGAAATAAAGTAAGTTATTCTTTTGCATTTTCAGAATTCATACAATTTTTGACAGATTTTTTAGATTTTTTTATAGGATTCATAATTATATCTTATGTAGAAAAAAACCTTTTAGCACTGAACAGAATTTTTTTTAAGATTATTTTTGAAAGCTAATTTTTTCAGAAAGAAGAGATACAGTACTGAACCATTTTATTCTTAATTTCTTGTTTCTGGCAGTTAAATAGGATGTTCATAAGACCTTTTTTTTCATACTGACTATACCGCTCTTAGAGCAGCTTGTTTATAATTACTGCTTTTGTACTCAGCTTAGAGGTATTGAATATTCAATAATTACCATTTTTATATATTATATTATCTGTTAAAATGATAAATTTATCATCTGGCATATCCATTTTGAATATTCCTCTACCTTCCCCCCATTCAGAGTATTACTTAATATAGTAAAACTTACCTAAGTTGCATGAAATTTCAATCTCTGTTATAGGGTATGTTTAATGAATATTTTAAAAATAAAGAGGAGTGATATCAGCAATACGGCAGAATAGGAGGTCCCAACCCATTTCTCTCCCAGAAAAAAATATTTAACAAGCATCCATAGACAAAAGTGCCTTTCTGGGAGCACTGAGATCCGTGTAGGAGGTTGTAAAACCCTGGTGGAGCCCCAAAATGAGGAGGTAGGCCTGCGTACCAGTGGCAGGCCCTCCACTGTGGTGTCTTCTATGAACTCAAAGCAGCCCCATCTTTCTGTGGGCTTGGCTCTAACCCTGTTTGCCCAGTCCTGCACCTAGCCCCTTCCCAAGGAACCCTTCTGGCTACTCTTCATCAGTGGGCCTGCTGGCTTCAGACCTGACTACAATCCCTGAGTCAGTCTGTGACCTAGCTCTGGTTTCACGCTCCCACAGTTGCAACGCAGTTTGGCCTGCCCATAAACCAGCCCAGTGACATGAGAGGAGCACCCTTAGAATCCTAGGAGGCATAACATTTGACTGTACCCCTGGTTACAGGTCTGCCAGTCATGGACCTGGCAACAGACACATGACATGGCCTCAGTTCCACTTAGCTGAGAACCCAGAGTCAGTTCTGGGTTCTGGGGCAAGGCAACAAAAGGACTTTAGCTGCCAAAACCAGTCTAAAGACTAGAAGAGGAGTCTGCTCCTTCAAATGCACAGATGGCAATAAAGAGCCAAGCAAACATGACACCACCAAAGCAAACTAATAAAACTCTGGTAATCAACCCAAATAGGGATCCATGTACTTCCTGACAAAAAATTAAAAATAATTGTCTTAAGGTAGGTTGGTATATGGTTAACTAAATGAAATCAGGAAAAAAACAATACATGGACAAAATGAAAAATTTAACTAAGTGAAACCATAAAAAGAGAACCAAACAAACCCTGGAGTTAAAGAATACAGTGAAATTCAATAAAGCACTTTATCAGCAGACTTGATCATAGAGAAGAAAACTCGGCTAACTCAAAGATTGGTCACTTGAAATCAGTTCAGTTAGAGGAACAAAACAAAAAAGAATGAAAAAGAGTGAAGAAAACGTACATGACTTATGGGACACCTTGAAGTAAATCAGTATTCACATTATCAAAATTCTAGAAGGAGCAAAGATGAGAAAGGGTAGAAAGTTTATTTAAAGAAATAACGGAAAACTTCCCAAATCTGGGGAGAGTAATGAACATCCAGATCCATGATGCCCAAAGAAGCACAAATAGGGTGAACATCAAGAACTTCACTTGACATATTATAATCAAAATGTCATAAGTCAAAAAAAGAGAACTTGAAAATGGTAAGAGAAAAGGGACTCATCACATGCAGGTGACATACAGGACTCCCCAAACCCCTGCATAAATCTGTCAGTGGATTTCTCATAAGAAATCTTGCAGGCCAAGAAAGAGTGTGTGGCACAATATGTATATTCAAAGTGCTGAAAAACAACTGTGAACCAAAAATACTATATCGCGCAAAGCCATCCATCAGAAACAAAGTAGAGATAAAAGCTTCCCCAGACAAGCAGAGATCAAAAGGGAGTTCATTACCAGTAGACTTATTATGTAAGAAATGATGAAGGGAATTTTTCAAGTTGAAATGGAAGGACACTAATTAGCAACATAAAAACATATAAAAGTATAAACTTTTAGTGGTAAAGGTAAATATATGGTCAAATTCAGAATACTCTAACACTGTAATGGTGGTACCTAAATAATTTTTAACTCTAGTATAGAAGTTAAAAGATAAACATTTTTAAATAACAATAGGTACAATAATGTGTTAATGGATATACTATATAAAAAGATATAAATTATACACCAATAATAAAAAATGAGAGAAGTGAAATTACAGAGATTTTTATGTGATTGAAAGCAAGTTATTACCAGCTTAATATAAACTAAGATGTTTCCTATAAGCCTCATGCTGATCAACAAAGAAAAAGTGTGTAATAAGTATACAAAAGATAAAGGAATGAAAGCAAAGTACAAAAATCAATAAGAAGACAACAAAATAGTAGTGAAGGAACCAAGGAACTACAAAATAGAAAACAGTTGACTTATGGCAATAGTGTAATGCCCTTAATCTACTAGTAATGACTTTTAATGTAAGTGCATTGATTCTCCAGTCAAAAGATGTAGGCTCAGTGGATTAAAAATCAAACTCCAACTGTATTCTGCCTACCTGGGACTGATTTTAAATATGAAGAAACACACAAACTAAAAGTTAAGAGATGGTGAAAGATAGCCGAGGCAGGTGGTACCCAAAAGACAGCAGAGATGCCTTATATCAGGCAAAATAGAACCTAAGTCAAAAATTGTCACAAGAACCAAGACAGTCATTTTATAGTGATAAAGGAGTTAATTTGTCAAAAGAAAAGTCATAAAACTATATGCACTCAAAATCAAAGCACCTAGGTATAGTAAAGCAAATATTAAAAGAACCAAAGGGAGAAATAGAAAGCAAGCAATAATACTAAGGAACTTCAGTACCTTACCTTCACTAATAGGTAGATCATCCAGACAGAAAATCAATAAGAAAACAGCACATCTGAGCAATGCTAAAGACCAAACAGACCTAATAACTTTCTATACAATGGCAACACAGTGCACATTCTTCTCAAGTATACACAAAATATTCTCCAGAATAGGTCATATGATAGGCCACAAAAATAAATTTTAGCCAATTTAAGAAAACTAAAATTATATCAGATATCTTTTTCAACCATAGTGATATGAAGCTGAAATGCAGTAACAGGAGGAAAACTGAAAAATTAACAGAACAGGTGGAAATTAAATAACATACTCCTGAGCAACCTGTGGGTCAAAGAAGAAATCAAAATGGAAAAAGAAAATATCTTAAGACAACCAAAGATAGAAACAAAATATACAAAATGTATGGATGGGATGCAGTAAAACCAGTTCTTAGAGGAAAGTTTACAGTGATAAATGTGTACATTATGACAAACATCTCAATAAACAACCCAACTTTACATCTAAAGAAACTTCTTAGAAAAGAAGAAAAAACTAAGCCCAAAATTAGGAGAATAAGGAAAATGACAAAGATAAGAGCAGAAACAAATCAAATAGAGAGCTGTGCTGTGCCTAGTAGCTCAGTCTTGTCTGACTCTTTGTGACCCCATGGACTGTAGCCCACTCGGTTCCTTTGTCCATGGGGATTCTCCAGGCAAGAATACTGGAGTGGGTTGCCATGCCCTCCTCCAGGAGATCTTCCCAACCCAGGGATCAAGCCCAGGTCTCCTGCATTGCAGGAGGATTTTTTACCAACTGAGCCGCCCGGGAAGCCCAAGAATACTGGAGTGGGTAGGTAGGCCTGTCACTTCTCCAGAGTATCTTCCTGATCCAGGAGTCGAACCGAGGCCTCCTGCATTGCAGGCGGATTCTTTACCAGCTCTGCTACCAGAGAAGCCTAAGAATAAAGAGAGAAGACTCAATAAATAAAAATCAGAAATGAAAGAGGAGACGTTACCACTGATACCACACACATACAAAGGACTATAGGAGACTACAGTGAACAAAGAGACATTAACAAGTTGGACAACCATGAAAAAATTGATAAATTCTTACAAATATGCAACCTTATAAAAAATTGAAAATCTGAACAGACCAGTTACTCTTAAGGAGACTAAATCAGTAATCAAAAACCTCCTTGGATTTCTGAAAAGTTCAGAACCAAATGGCTTCACTGATGAATTCTTCCAAACATTTAAAGAAGATTTAATGTCAAACTCTTTCATAAAATTGAAGAAGAGAAAACGTTTCAAAGCTCATTTTACAAGGCCATCATTACTCTGATACCAAAGCAAGACAAACATACTATAAGAAAATAATAAGCTAATATCCTTGATAAACATAAATGCAAAACTCCTAAAAAAAAAAATACAAACCAAATTTAAGAGTGTATTAAAAGGATCATGGTGGGATTAATACCTGGGATGCAAGGATGTTTTGACATACACAGATCAATAAATGTGACAAAACACTACATTAAAGAATTACATATGAAATTCATATGATCATTTCAATAGATATAAAGAAAGCGTTTCACAAAATATAGTATCATTCATGATTAAAAACTTTTGACATATTAGGTGCAGACAGAATGTACCTCTAATAGTAAAGGCCGTTTATAACAAGCACACAACTAATATCATATCCAGTGGTGAAGATCTAAAAACTTTAAGATCACGAAAAAGACAGGAGTGCCCAGTCTTGCCAGTTGTATTCACCATAGTACTATATGTCTTAGAGAAATTAGATAAGAAAAAAATAATAAAACATCTAAATTAGAAGAGAAGTAAAATTGTCTCTGTTTATAGATGATATGATCTCATATTTTGAAAACTGGAGACTCAGCCTCAAAGCCATTAGAGCAAATACACAAATTCAATGAAGCTTCAGGATACAGAACCAGCATTCCAAAATCAGTTGTATTTCTATACACCAGCAGCAAACTATATGGAAAAAAAATTAGCAATTCTATTTACAGTAGCACCAAAAAGAATAAATTACTTAGAATGAATTTATAACCAAGGAAGTAAAAAATCTGTAAACTGAAAAACACTGAGGAAATAACTTGACAGTCACAAATAAATATAAAGGTGTGTTTATAAATTGAATGAAATAATAATGTTAAAACGTCCATACTACACAAAGCCATCTATGGAGTCAATAAAATCCCTATCAAATTCCCATGGTGTTTTCACAGACATAGAGAAAAATCCTAAAATCGTATTGAACCTCCAAAGACTTGAAACAGCCAAACCATTCTGGAACAAGAACAACAACAACAACAAAAACTGGATGTGTCACGCTTCCTAATTTCAAAATATATTACAAAGTTTTGGTAATCAAAACAATACAATACTGTTATAAAACAGTGTATAGTTACAGCACAGAGTAGAGAGTACAGAAATAAATGCATACATTTGTGGTCGGCTGATGCTTGACAAGGGTGTCAAGAACACGCACGGGGAAAGGATATCTCTTCAATAAATGGTGCTGGAAAAACTGGACATTTAGATGTGGAAGAAAAATTGAACTCTTACCATACACCATATATGAAAATCAGCTCATAATGTATTAAAGGCTTAAATGTACATTCTGAAATTGTGAAACTGCTAGATGGAAACAAAGGGCAAAAGCTTCTTGACATTGGTCTTGGCAGTGTTTTTTTTTTTGGATATGACCCCACAAGTACAGGTAACAAATGCAAAACTATCCAAATGAAGTTACATCAAACTGAGACTTTCCTACACAGCAAAGAATATAAGAATAGAGTACAGAGACACTATGGCATAGGGAAAAATGTTTGCAAATAATACACCTGATAAGGAGTTAATTTTCAAAATATATAATAAACTTGAACAACTCAATGGCAAAAGAAAAGAAAAAATTGGGCAAAGGATCTCATCAAATTTTTCTCAGAGGAAGACATAGCTGACCAATAGGTATATCAAAAGGGGAGGTATCACCTCACACCTGTTAGGATGTCTGTTGTCAAAAAGGCAAAAGATAACAGTGTTGACAAGAATGTGGAGAATAAGGAACCCCCTTCTATGCTGTCAGTGGGAATGTAAATTAGTGCAGCCACAATGGAAAACAGTATAGAGGTGCCTCAAAAAATTAAAAGTAGAACCACCGTATGATCCAGCAATCCTGTTTCAGAGTATAGATCCAGAGGCCACAAAATGATTGTCTCAAAGAAATACCTGCATTCCCATATTCATTGAAGTCAGCATTCTCGACGATAGCCAAGGTATTGGGATAACCTAAGTGCCTGTTGACAGATAAAAGGGTAAAGAAAAGGTGTGTATGTATGGGAATGGAGATATACATTTATATTCTCTAGGAATCTCCTCCTTTCTTTTTTTTTTGTTACAAATAATTTGTTGAAAACCTGGGTTGTTTGTGTTGCAGAGTCTTCTCTACCCACATGCATATATATCATATCATTTACCTTGTTTCCTGCCCCATGCATTTTTTTAAAAATTAGATCAAGAGGCTTGATCTAATTCAGCTTTCACTTTTTTGCAAGAATTGTTTATAAATGGTAACATTTTGAACTCCTGTTTGGAGGCACATAATGTGTTGTTATTTTTGATCTTAGCATCTTTCTGACTTAAGCATCATTTGAGGATCATTACCTAGATCCATCATTTCATTAGGAACTTTATTAGCCAAGTTTAAGACAGGGAAAAAGGAGCTACAAGTATTATGGCAGTAAAGGATCTTATATATTTCCTATGACACCCAATGGTTAGGGAATGTTCATAGTACTTGATTACCTGGGATTGAAAAGATGGAAATTTTAAAATATAGGAAAAAAATTAGCAGTATGTTGAAACAATATACGTGTCTGGAGGTCTTGTCACTCAATAATCCATTGTTGAGAAAGTTCAAGAAATATAACCTGCTTAAACTGTGATAAAATAAAATAAGTTTATACAACTAGAAGTTTATTTTTTAAAATCTGAATTCTTATTATAATTCGTAATTTAATATAGTCAGCAAATGTCTTCTATAGTGTTGATTGATGATGAAAGGAGTTTTTCATTATTACCTGTCCACCTTCCGCATCATTAGCTTTCGTTTGTCCTCTTGAAGTCCTCTTTACACAGTAATTCTCAGTGTTACTGTTGGAAAGAGGTTTCACGTTGACTTCCTTAGTGAGTGATAGCAATTCAATTTTCTGTTATTAGTTAAGATTGCTAAATGGAATATATTTGGTTGGTGTAACATAACATTGTGAAACCACACAGTTTAAGTCTACAGTGAAGAGAAATGACTCAGAGCAAAGAAAACAAGTCTGCAGTATAAAATATGGACAGACTTCTTGACTTCTATTCCAGATCATTAAGTTTAAAGGTTCTTTTTGTTTTGTTTTTTTAATCAGTTCCTCGGAAGAGATATCACGTTGCCAAGAAATGATTCAGAAACTTCAAAATATATTGGAGTCTGAGAGGGAGAACTGTGGATTTGTCAATGAACAAAGGTTGAAACTTCAGCAGGAAAATGAAGAGTTACAGAAACAGACTGAAGATTTGAGAAAGAGTGCTCTCGAGGTTCAAAAAAAAGCCAAATTAAAGGTATATTCAAATCTATTTAGAATTAAATGTGTACCTGTGAAATTTGAAATATAGAGAATATTTACAGAGACCTATTAAAACATTTTTAAGACCTTTTTTTTTGGTTTTTGCCTTCTCATCAGATAGCACTAAATCATAATACAGAGCATTAACCAGTCTTTTCTGTATTGTAGAACTTGGCAAGCATACTTGAAAATGATTGCTTTCACTATCCACACACACAAAAAATGCTTTTCCAACCATGAAATGCACGGATATTCCTGCCAAAGCAATTTAAGCAGTGCTAGCAAAACTATAGATAACTTTACGGACTGCTGTCCTCTCTTTTCCCTCTAAAATGTGCTGTACTTAGTCGCTCAGTCATGTCTGACTCTCTGCAGCCCCGTGGACCTGCCAGGCTTCTCTGTCCATGGGGATTCTCCAGGCAAGAATACTGAAGTAGGTTGCCATGCCCTCCTCCAGGGGATCTTCCCAATCCAGGAATCGAACCCAGGTCTCCCGCATTGAAGACAGATTCTTTACCATCTGAACCACCTAATAGCCACTCGAAAATAGAACTCTTAAAACTAGCTCTGCAGATAATGGTGCATCAGTATGCTCTGAGAACTGCTCATAGGTAGTCTAAAAATTCCATGCCAGGGAAAAGGCAAGGGGCAAAAGTGTCCTCTGGAAAAAAATTCCCTTTTCTCTCTCCTCCCCACCTGCTTCTTTCTCTAATGCTTATATGGTTTGGCAATGGGGACATGATAACCTGTTTGAGGGAGTTTCAAGCACGGGTATCACCATCAGTGTTTCCTGCCTCTCCCCATTCTGTGTGACTTTTGTAAAAGTGGCATTAACTTTTTTTTTTTCAGTTGACCTTATTATGTTTTATTTCTATATAAAACATAGTTATTTATATTAAATACATATGCATTTTGAATACTATTTAAAAATTTTTTTAAATTATTTAGAACTATATCAGTTGATTGTATTTGTGTCTGGGGTGTGAAGGGGGGAGTCTTTAAAAGTGGCATTTACTTTTTATGAGAAAGGTCTGTATCTTCTGTTTTCATAGTAAGGCCATGGGGTGGTAGCATCAGTGTTTCACTTCATTTTTCATTACTGTGAGGACTCATAAGAAGTCACATCCCAACCTAATTCATATCAGTGTATGTTTATTGAATGCCTCCTATTGCAAGTGTCATGCACTGTGGTTATTTATAAAAGCTTAAGCTCTGAAAAAGAGACTCTTACATATCATGCAAAGAAGCTTGTGCTTTTTTGCTTTAATCTGTGAGGAATCTTTGAAAAACCAAGGGGAAAGATCACACTACCAGATATCAAGACTTGATATAAAGCTATGCTAATTAAGACAGTGTGTAATCAACAGGAAAATAATCAACCTAATCAATAGAACAAACAGAATCCAGGGACAAACCCAGTTTTCATAATCACCTCGTTATAACAAAGGCACCACAAAAGTTCAGTAGGGAAATAATTATCTTTACAATAAATATTGTGAGGTCAACTGGGTCCATATTTTTAAAATAAACCTTGATCCTTATATCACACCATATATTTAAGTTAATTTGAGTTCCCTGTAGACCTAAATATGAAATATAAAATGATGGAGCTTCAAGGAGAACCTTCATGATCTTGGCTAAGGAAGAATTTCTTAAACAGAACAAAAAGAGAGCTAATCATAATGAAAAGGTAGATGAATTGGATTTCTTTAAGATTTTTAAGTCATCTAAAGGGACACCATTAAGATAGTAAAAAGTAGAAGAAAGTATTCATAATACATACAGCCAAAAAAAAGACTCATATCTAGAATATAAAAACTTTTACCAGTTAATAATGAAATAGTAAGAAAAAAAGTTAATCAAAAGAAAAAAAGACACCCCATTTCCAAAAATGAACAAAAGAATTAGTCTATAAAAGATAATATATGAAAAAAAGTTCAATTTCATTATTTACTGTGGAAATATAGTTAAAACTATAGTGAGGTACTATAGCATGCATACCAGAATGACTAAAATTTTAAAAACTGACAATATCAAGTGTTGACAAAGTTGTAAAAAATCCAGTACCTTCATAGGTTATTTTGGTTATATAAATTGGTACAGCCACCATTTGGTAGTATCTTTTTAAGTTAGACATACATACATACTATGCCAGATAATAATAATAAAAACACTAACTACATACCCAGCTGGTATGAGTGCTTTTGTTCATCAAAATATGTGTACAAGAACATTCATAGAAATTTTAATCTTATCAAAACACTGGAAATAATTCAAATGTCCATCAATGTGAGATGGCATAGGTAAATTATGGTATGTTCATATATGGAATAGATGAAAAGAATAAACTGCATCTATAAGCAATGGCAAACGAGTCTCACAGACATAATATTGGACAAGGAAGCCAAACATTAAAAAACTTAAAGTCTATTAATTATATGCTAATGAAGAACAGGCATAATTACCTGTAAGGATGGGATCAGAATAGTGGTTGCATTTTAGGTGGATGAATACTGATTAGAAGGGCACATGAGAGAACCAGGTTCTGAGGTAGCTAAATCTGGGTGGTGTTGCTCACATGTCACTATATGTATAAAAATTGAATTGTACCCTTAAAATTTATGTACAGTATGTCATTGTAAGCGAGAGAGAGGTAAATCTTGGCAGAGGAAGATAAATAGAATTATAGATCAAACAGGAGTGGCTGTGAATTTACTGATTATGGAAACTAGGTGATAAGCATATAGGGATTCATTGTAAAGTTTTTCTATTGTGTATATGCTTGAAAGTTTCTATACTGAAACATTTCCATAATTAAAAAATGACAGTGTACTTTGAAAAAATCTTAAGTTTTCTTATTTTTAAATATCATATTATAAATTTCATATGGTTAATAACTAAAAACTATTAGTGATCATATATAGCATTAGTAGGAAATGAAGTTGAATATTTAACTGATGGGAAAGAACTTTCTCAGCAAAACTGAAAACTGGGAGAATTGCAAATGAATAAATATACTGATAGATTTATATATGAGGTTTTTAAATATTTAAAACAACTTTAAAAATATTTTAAAGAGAAATAACTGGATGAAATAGTTTTAATAAATATGACAGAAGATAAAGATCATACAAGGAGCTTTGAAAAAAATGAAAAAAAAAAATTGTAACCCAATAGGGAAACATGTATGAGACATGAGCAGAATTCACAAACTAAGAAAAACAAATTGCTAATAAACAAGTTTTTTAAAAGTTTAAACACTATTAATTAACTGCAAAGTTGTCAGTTTGAGTGAATGTGCAGCTGCAGGTGTAAAATGGTACACAGTGAGAGTCTATAAAATTTAGTCATAACAGAATAATTATTGTGTCTTATAATTAAGGAAGTTGATGGCAACATTATTTGTAATAAATTAAAAACAACCTATCTAGAAATAGATAGTTAAATTATGGTCCATTTATAAAGTGCTGTATTGAGTCATTAAAAATCACATTTCCAAATAATTTGTAATGTGTTTGTATTGTTATGTCCTAAGTATTTTTTAAAATGAACAGTGTGCATATGTATTTATATATGTTGTAATCCTATATCCACTAATCTCAGTTTTAAAATTCATAAGTAACAATGATGTAAAAGTTAGAAGTAGTTATCTCTCTGAGTTCTAGATTACAGAGACCATATATTTGTCTTTTTAATTTTTTTGTATTTTGCCTAATTTTACAGTATACTTGTGTTTTGGGGATTGGGTTCTTATAATGGGGGAGAAGGGAATGCATGAATTTCCCCTACCTGATACTGCATTTACTCTATCTTTAATTCAGAATAATAGCTGACGTTTCTTGGAAAAGCAAAAAGAAAGTTTTCCTACCAGAAATGCTCCCGTTATGCCAAGTCTGCATGTAGCTTAAGAGAAGAATCATTGGTAAATAAGGGACACAGGACCTCTTAACTAGATAGCTGTAATTCTATTTTATGGAGGAGAGCTGTCAGATAAATTGCTTTGTAGCTGATTCCTTCTTCAACAACATAAGAATCTAGTGCTACACTTTGCTGCTTTTCTCCCCCATGAAAAAGTGTGTGATCTTTAGGAGCCAGAAAGATCAAAATAGTTGGGTATTCAGAGGGCAGTTGGCTAAGAACCATAATGACTTATTTTATGAAGTTTTCATTTGATCTTAAAGCCACTACTGTCCTTTCTGCCCCAGTTTTCTCTTTTCCTAATTCCTTCCTTCTTTCTGCGAAGGATCTTCATATCTTTGTGGTCTAAATACTCCTCATAAAAATATAAAATTAGGAGATGGTTAGTTTTTAGCAATCCTGTCTATGTGAGTGAATAGTTTTGTGCAAAGGAAGAGGGGAAGGAGACCATAAATCGGTTTTTCCAGCCCAGCGTTCTGAATTGAATCATTACTGAGACTTGTTTTGAAGACAGAGTTGTCTTGGCCCTTATCCATCCTGCATCATTGCAGATCTGTCCAGTTTAAGTCAGAATTGTGTCAACTGAAGGATCTGGGGTTCATTTAAAGACTGAATTTTTATACCTTTATTATGATTCAGGTGCTAAAGATGTAATACTAAACGAAAAAGACATGGTCCCCATCCTTAAAAACTTATTATTTGCATGGAGGTGGGCAAACTTTAATTGTATCTTTGCAAACTAGTAAATGCTCTTTAGGAAAAGCATAGGACACTATGAGCTTTTGCTAGATAGTAAGAGAATTTTCCTGTAGGAGCAAGAAGTTAGCTAAGTTCTAAAAGTTGAGTAGAAATAACTAAGATAGGCAGGAGGGAAAAGATTATTCTAGTCAAAGGGAGTGTATAAGAAGATCCAGGAATGAGAATGCATTGTGAAAGAAGCAAAGAAGGGAATAGTAGTATAACACAGTCTCGTAGAATTAGGTAGAGAGCAGGTTTTCATGAAGGACCTTAGAATAAGGCTTTTCAAGCTGCAGATAGATTTTTCAAGTAGAAATGGGGAGTTAACTAGCCAGAAAGAGTGATAAAACTGTGTAGATGCATAGATCAGCTTTTAATACATGATGTGTGTGAGAGAGACAGAGGCAGAATTAAATACTTCCACCTAAGATGTCAGAATTGTGGCTTCTCCAGAGAAAGTGGAGATTGAGGCAAGGAAGGATATTCAATTCAAAATTTGTAAAATTCAGTAATTTAAAAATGTTTTAAATAGAGCAGAAGTCACAGAGCCTCAGGAGGCTTGCTCAGGAGTAACACAATACAAACTTAATAAATCCAAGGTAGTTTTTCCAGTGCCAGTATTTATAAAGTCAGTCTTCTACTTGTGTACCATTTGAGAAAGCAAATTTAAGAGATTTAGAAAGTATGCAGCATTGAGCAGAAATAATGAGGACAGAATGGTTGTAGTTTTCCGCCATGAGTTTAGCTGTTATTGAGTTTTCTTTGGTGTTTTTTGAATCAATAAAATTGAGGCTTCTTATTCATTCATTTTTCAGTTTGAAAGTAGTCATATTTAATAACTTACTAGAAGCCATTCCAGCCATGACCATTTTTAAAGCACATTACTTTAAAATATCACAAGATAGGTGTTCCTTATAATACTTCTTGGGTGTAGCAAGATAATGATAGCCTGAGAGTATACCAAAGAAATTGTGCTAGTAACTACTTAACTATTTTATCAGTTGTCTCAAATATGGTAACAGGTAGTTTCATTCTAGATGCATATGAAGCAGACAGTTCATTACATACATTGGGTACTTTAGAGCATTAGGGTTAATTCTCTCCCTGAACCTCAAGTTGAGAAAACTTTAGGGTATCCAAAGAGCATTTATTCGTATGTTCATTCTACATTAAGGGTTTTTTTTTACCATAATAACATAAATAACCTAGAAATAATTGAAGACATTTCCATATAACTTTCTGAAAAGCATTTTAGTCTTTTCTGGGAGGGAGGGGGAATTGTTCATGTATACCGTAACTGTGGTAGTAAAAGAATTCCCGTATATAATTTTTTTTTTAATTTTACGAAGCTCTTTGAAAGAACCTGAACTTTAGTATGTAAATCAAAAGTGGCTTGAGGAGCCTCTCAGAGGAGCTTTTGATGAGCACATCAGGGTGCTGGGAGCATGGCTTCCTTGGAGAGGGCTTGGAGGCTCTGCACACCCCCTACCCAGCTGTACCTTGCTGTGTGTCTCTCTTGCATCTGGCTCTGCTGGAGTTGTATCCTTCATAATAAACCAATAAACATATTTTGTGTGTTTTAAAAAACATAAACGGCTTCCATTTAAACCCAGCTCTCAGTTACTAAGAGCATGAACATTTATTGTCCATTCAGGCAGCAAAAGTAAAAATAGATGATGAAAGCAGGTCTATATTAGTGGTATGTTTTTTCCTACTGTCATTTCAAGGTGTTGGGGAAAGTGTTAAAAAATCTGTACTCCCATCTTAATTCTGGTTTTATTAAATTTATACTGTAACATAGGATAAGTCCTCGTCTATGATGGAAACAAATTGTAAAATTAATTTTTATATAGGTTTCTCATCCAAACATTTCTGTGCCACAGACCACACAATAAATGATTGTATTTATCAGTGATCACTCTGTCTCCAAGAATAACAGAAAAGAAAAAGAAAATACTATTTTCATTTTATTCCTTAGATCAGTACAATGGAGCATGAATTTTCAATAAAGGAACATGGATTTGAAGTTCAGTTAAGAGAGATGGAAGACAGTAATCGAAATTCCACTGTTGAACTGAGGCATCTCTTAGCTACTACACAGAAAGCAGCCAATAGGTGGAAAGAAGAAACGAAGAAACTCACTGAAAGTGCAGAAATTAGAATCAGTAATCTAAAGTAAGTCCACTGCTAATTCTTTGGTACATTTTACAGAAAAATTACTTAACCTTTAGTTTAATGTCCTTGCCATAATCTTTCTGTAAAAATATGTAAGTCTGTACCTTATATTTTTTACAGCAAATATTAAATTACTATGAAAAATGTTGACAATTATAGATCAAACTCAAATTGTTTGTTTTATAAATTTTATGCATATCACAGGAAATACAATGATTTTTGTTGGACACGGCAGTTTAGAATCTTAATACTATTCATGTATAGATATAGCATAGTAATGTTCCATAGTTGCAACAGAATCTATTTGGCCTGCAAAGCCTAATATTTGTTCTCTGGCCCTTTAAGAAAAAATTTGCTGACGTTTGCTCAGGAAGAACATGAACTTTTATGATAAATGAAATGGGAAGCTATGAAGGGCTTTTAACAAAATGATATGATCGGCCTTTAAAATGTTCAACAGATCACTTTGACTGCTCTATGATGAATAGCGTGGAGAGGGTCAAGGGTAGAAGAAGAGGGAAGATGAACCAGTACTGTGATAATCCAAGTATAAAATGATAACTTGGATTAAGTTTTGAAGGACTGGAAATCATTTTTTAAAAGTTTGCTTTGGTCCATGTTAAGTATGAGCTACCTAAAAGATATCAGAATATCAACTTGTTAGGTACATAAGTTTGGAGTTCAGGAAAGATATTGCAACAAGAGCTATAAATTTAGGAGTGATTAACATATGCATAATTTTTAAAGTCATGGAATTAGAAGGTATAGAAAGGAAGTCTGGATAGGGAAATTAGGCTACTGAGGACTAAGTTCTAAAATTTAGTTTGGAGAAATGAAAATTTAGCTGAGCCTGAGAAAAAATACTGAGACAAACAAGAGAAAGAATAGTAAAAAAAAAAAGAAAAAAAAGAAAAAAGAATGACATAAAAATATATGATACTTGCTTTTTTACAGATAGATAAACTGAGTCTGAGTGACATAAAGAAATTTGTTCAAGGTCACATAGCTAACAAAGTAAAAGATCCTGGTTTCAAATTTAAGTCAATTGGATATAGTCAATATGGTCCTAACCATTAAAGTTTGCTTTGTTTTTTTGCCAGTTTATTTCTTTTTATTGAAGTATAGTTGCTGTACAATTTTATATAAGTTATAGGTGTACAATACAGTGATTCACAACATTTTAATTTATAGTAATTTTAATTTATATAAATTTTAATTTATTTTTACTGTAAAATATTGGGTATATTCCCTGTGTTGCACAATATATGCTTTTTCTTATTTTATACCTGTAGTTTGTACATCCTAATCCACTACCCCTATACTAACCCTCCCCTCTTCTCTCTCCCCACCAATAACCATAGTTTGTTTTCTGTAGCTGCAAGGCTGTTTCTTTTTGTTATATTCACTAGTTTCTTTTCTTGGCTGAATAGTATTCTATTGTGTATATATTTCATGTCTTCTTTAATCCATTCATCTATTGATGGACACTTAAGTTGCTTCCATTTTTTGGCAGTTGTAAATATTGCTGCTGTGAACTTTAGAGTGCATGTATCTTTTCAAATTAGCGGGTTTTTTTTTCTTTCAGATGAATACCCAAGGGTGAAATCGGTACTTCTATTTTTAGTTTTTGAGACACCTCCATACTGTTTTCGACAGTGAGTGCATCAGTTTACATTCTCACCAACAATGTATTAGCATTCCATTTTCACCACATTTTTGCCAGCACTTGTTATTTGTGTTCTTTTTGATGTTAGCCATTCCAGCAGGTGTGTAGTGATATCTTATTGTGGTTTTGATTTGCATTTCCCTGATGATAGTGAAAGGTTGTTGCTGAACGATAAGACGCCAGGATTCTTGGCCTCCAGAGGAGGCGAATTCAATCCGGGGCCAGAGATGAGGCTGGATCGCTCAGAAATTTTGTGTAATAAAGTTTTATTAAAGTATAAAGGAGATAGAGAAAGCTTCTGACATAGGCATCAGAAGGGGGCAGAAAGAGTACCCCCCTGCTAGTCTTCAGCTGGATGTTATATAGTCACTAGCAGTCTGTTAATGAAAAGAAAGGAATGTCTTAAAACTCAGAATGGCACCAGGCCCCTCATCCATAAAATGCATTTTGGGATAATCCTGGCACCAGATGATTCATCCCAGACCATAAAACGATTGACTTGAATCTTGTAAAAGGGCAGATTACCATACAAATAGTGTCGTTTACACAGATTAGGGGAAGAGTATCTGGGTATAACATACTGGTTTGTCAAGTAGGTTCTGAGCCATTAGGCAGAACCGACTTGAAGACAGAGCCTAGGGTAAATACATAGTACATTAACATAGCTTAAGACAAACATTTCCATGAGAAAAATGTATTGGTTAATTCAAGGTTTGAGAATAGTTAGCTTCAGGTGAAACCAGGTGTCATGCCAACACAGTATTTTAAGAGAACCCTCCTTTTAAATTTGCATAAAGAAGGAAAAAAATATCGCTCGTTTGTTTCCTCCCTCTGCTTAAGAGAGATAAAAATGTCTGACACTTGCAGCCTATTTCTTCCATGGAGACCCCTGGCCTTCCTGCCTGTGACCCTGTTAATAGTGATGTTGGACATCTTTTCATATGCCTACTGGTCATCTGTGTGTCCTTTTTGGAAAAATGTCAAATAAGCAGGTATCACTATAAAATTCCTTCTTAGACCTGGTTTTACTGTGTCCCATACGTTTTGAATTGTTGTGTTTTCATTTTCATTTGTCTCTAGGTGTTTTTTAAATTTCCTCTCTGATTTAGTCAGTGCTCTATTGATGATTCTGTAGCTATAGTTTGGCCTCCATGTTTGTGGTTTTATAGTTTTTTCCTGTAGTTGATTTCTAGTCTCATAGATTTGTGATTGAAAAAGATGTTTGATATGATCTCAGTTTTCATAAATTTATCAAGGCTTATTTTCTGGCCTAGCATGTTATCTGTCTTGGAGAATGTTCCATTTGCACTTGAAAAGAATGTATATTTTGCTGCTTTCAGGTGGATACTCTCTCTGTATATAAATTAAGTTCACTTGATCTAATGTGAAAGGCAAGGATTTCCTTACTGACTGTATGTCTGAATGATCTGTCCATTGATATAAGTGGGATGTTACAGTTCCTGACTATTATTATTTCTTTATTTCTTGTCAGTTTCTCCTATTATGCCATCAATATTCACCTTATATATATAGGTGCTCATATATGGGGTGCATATATATTTACATTTGTTGTATCTTTTTCTTGAATTCACCCCTGGATTATTATGTGTTGTCCTCCTTTGTCTCTCCCAGCAGTCTTAATTTTACAGTCTGTTTTATCTAAGTATTGCTACCAGGGCTTTCTCTTGATTTCCATTTGTATGGAATACCTTTTTCCATTTCCTCACTTTAGCTTTGTGTGTGCCTGTAGATCTGAAGTGAGTCTCTTGTAGGCAGCATAGGTATGGGTCGTGTTTTTGTATACAATCAGCCAGTCTATGTCTTTCGGTTGGAGCATTTAGACAATTCAAAATTAAGATAATTATTGAGATGTACTTACTGCCATTTTGTTAACTGTTTGGGGCTTGTTTTTGTAGATTTTTCCCTTCTTTTGTTCTCTTCTTTTTGACTTATGACTATCTTTAGTTTTTGAACTCCTTTTTCCTTTTTGTGTGTGTATGTCTGTTACAGATTTTTTTTTTTGTGGTTACCACAGGGTTTTTATAAATCATATTTCTTTAGATACAAAGCAGTTTTAGTTGTTTTTTTACATTCAGTTCAGTTCAGTCACTCAGTCATGTCTGAGTCTTTGCGACCCCGTGGACTGCAGCACGCCAGGCCACCCTGTCCATCACCAACTCCCAGAGTTTACTCAAAGTCCTGTCCATTGATGCCAGTCCATTGATGTCAGTGATGCCATCCAAGCATCTCATCCTCTGTTGTCCCCTTCTCCTCCCGGCTTCAATCTTTCCCAGCATCAGGGTCTTTTCAGATGAGTCAGTTCTTTGCATCAGGTGGCCAAAGTATTGGAGTTTCAGCTTCAACATCAGTCATTCCAATGAACGTTCAGGACTGATCTCCTTTAGGATGGACTGGTTGGATCTCCTTGCAGTCCAAGGGACTCTCAAGAGTCTTCTCCAACACCACAGTTCAAAAACGTCAATCCTTCGGCTTATAGTCCAACTCTCACATTCATACATGACCACTGGAAAAACCATAGCCTTGACTAGACTGACCTTTGTTGGCAAAGTAAGGTCTCTGGTTTTTAATATATGCTGTCTAGGTTGGTCATAACTTTCCTTCCAAGGAGCAAGCGTCTTTTCATAGCTGCAGTCACCATCTGCAGTGTTTCTGGAGCCCAAACAAATAAAGTATCTCACTGTTTCCACTGTTTCCCCATCTATTTGCCATGAAGTGATGGGACTGGATGCCATGATCTTAGCATTGTTTTACATTGCTGATCTCTAATTTCAAATGCATTTTAAATACTTGCATTTTTATATTTAAATTTAATACAATTTAATTTAAATAACTGTATTCTCTTCCCTCCATGATTACTATTTTTTATTTCATATTTTACATCTGATTGTCTTGTGTATCCCTTAACTGCTTATTGTGGATATAGATGATTTTACTGCTTTGATCTTTTAACCTCCCTACTAGCTTTTTGTGTGGATGATTTCCTCCCTTTATGTTTGCCTTTACTAGTGAGCTTTTCTATTCAGTAATTTTCTTGTTTTTAGTTGTGGCCTTTCTTTTTCTCCTAGATAAGTTCATTTAACATTTTTTGGAAAGCTGTTTTGCTGGTGCTCAAGTTTATCTTTTGTTTTTCTATGGAACTTTTGATTCTTTGTCAAATCTGAAGGAGAACTGTGCTAGATAGAAGATTCTTGGTTGTAGGGTTTTTGTTTTTGTTTTTGTTTTCCTTCCATCATTTTACATATATTGTGCCACTCCTTTCTGACCTGCAGAGTTTCTGCTGAAAAATCTGCTGAAAAATAAGCATTATGGGCAT